ATGGAAGCGTGCTCGTGTTACGCCAATATTTAAATCCGGGGATAAAAGACAATGTGAGAACTATCGGCCTATTTCAATTTTACCGGTGGTGAGTAAAGCCTTTGAGAAGGAAGTTTTCCGTCAAGTATATAGATACTTGTCTGAAAGCTCTCTTCTGTCAAAGTTTCAATCTGTATTTCGTCCAAAGCATTCAACTGTAACTGCCCTCATCCAAATGTGTGATGAGTGGCTAGAAAATATGGACAATGGAAAGTTAAATGGGGTTGTGTTCATAGATATCAAAAAGGCATTTGACTCTATAAACCATCGCATTTTGTTAAATAAAATGAATGAGCAATTTGGAATTTTTGGCGTAGAATTAAAATGGTTTGAGTCATATTTAACAAATAGAGAACAGCAATGTAATGTTAATGGAGAATTATCTAGCAATAAAATTATCACCTGTGGAGTACCCCAGGGATCTATACTGGGACCACTGCTGTTCCTATTATATATTAATGATTTGCCCGATTGTTTGAAATCAACTAATCCATGCATGTACGCGGATGATACTCAAATCTTTTCATCTTCCTACGATGCAAACGAACTTGTTGTAAATTTAAATTCAGATCTTGCCCATGTCTGTAACTGGCTTAAAGAAAATAGGCTGCAGATGCATCCATCAAAATGTAAAATGATGTTTATTGGCTCCCCGTATAATCTTAATAATATAATGTGTGAGGAACCTGTTGTGGCTAATGCAAAACCCATATCACGAATTGCTACACAAATGTGCCTAGGAGTAAAACTAGATGAAACCCTTAATTGGGATAGTCACATTGAAATGATTTGCAAGAAGGCGAGTGCTGCTATTGGCGCTATGAACCATATAAAGCCCTTTGTTCCAATGCATACCTTAGAATCGATTTATAAAAGTCTTGTGCAGCCCTACTTTGATTATTGTTCCCCCCTTTGGGACACTTGTGGTAAGTTGCTAAGAGACAAGTTGCAAAGATTTCAGTCTCGTGCAGCAAGAGTCCTAACGGGTGCTAATTATGATACTCGCTCAGCTGATCTTCTCAACATGCTTTCTTGGGATACACTTGAAAATAGGCGGTCTGGTGCCAAGTCAGTATTAATGTATAAAATACTTAACGACCACACTGCGCCAGGTCTCCGGGGGTCATTCGTGAGAAGAGAAATAGATCAAACTAATTATCATCTTCGAAACACAGCAACTGATCTAACAATTCCTAAACCGAAACGAGAATTTCTTAAAAAAAGTTTTAAATATAGCGGCGCTATGCTCTGGAATCAACTCCCAAACGAAGCAAAATTGGCCGAGTCGCCTCATTCGTTTAAATCAATTGTTGGACAGCGACATGCTTCCTAATTATTTGTATATAGTAACGTGTACAGTATGTGTGTATTAATATTTAGTTTAAATTTTCCTTTTAATGATTTTTATGATCTAAACACGCCCCCCATGGAAACCAGCCTAGAGTTGATGGGGCCAGCGTGTTCTTCTTTCTGTTAATTTTAAATAAAGTATTACCTACCTACCTACCTACCTACGTGGGTAACATGCATATCTACAAAAATTGAAGATGGTGGACATTTCATTCCTTTCAATCAAAATATTGGTAAAAGTAAGCAAGATATGAAAAAGAGTATTATATATAGTCTTAAAAGTTCTTTCAAATGAGAAAACAAAAATATATATTGCCATTCCCCATTATATATTGCCATTTCCCATTATATTTGCATTACGCGTGGGAAAAATAACAATTTTTGAGCCGATAGTGGTTATTTTTACCGCGCGTAATACAAATATATACGCTATATTTTCTTCATTTTACAACATTTAGCAACCAATCTTTGCAGTTTTACTCATTCGAAGACGCTCGTTCTAGCTGTGGTGTTAGATTTCGTTCTTCTTGCCTTGATCAAAATTTAGTCTATAGCTGGTATCACCCCCATTATCATCTAGTGTGTTGTATACATGTACCTGCTGAGTTTGCTTTCGATCCATCTTCTGATTTGATCAACCTACTCTCATGTGCTTCCTTTTCAAGATGTTTAATCTTATTTTCAAGTTGTTCTCTTGCTAGCCTTTCTTTAGCCACAAGTACTTGCATTTCCTTCAGCATCATGGCATGGTCGTTCTGTTCGGTCTCTCGTGCTTGCTGTTCACCACGGGTACGGAGTCGTAGCTATGATACCAAATCAAAGCAAGAAAGTGACCATTTATAATCTGACATGGATAATTAAAGCTTTTTCATGTTTAGTGTCTGGTTAACGAATATTGTAATATGATTGCCACATTTCTCTGACTGTGTCCACATCGGGCAAGCGAAAAGTTTGCTTGACCGCGGTGGGAATCGAACCCGCGACCTTTGCTATATATCTTCAACCTGAGTACACAACAGAAACACGAATTCAAGATTGTAAAAACCTACTGATATCGAAGGAACTAGACTGAGTTCCAAACTATCAGCCACTCGAACCGACGTGACCTCATAGCACAGTTGGTAGAGCATTGGACTAGCAAACCAAAGGGTGCGAGTTCGATTCTCACCGCAAGCAAACTTTTCGCTTGTCCGGTGTGGACACACTCTGAGATACATCCATAGATATCTTATATACACTAGATAGTGCGTCTAATTATTCTGCAATTCAACAATTGAAGCCGTGATTGCAGACTCAGGATATTCCCATGAAATGAGAAGACTTGTATGTTTTCTATTTCTTAAACAGGGAACTTAAACATTAAGTTAAACCTATTCCAAATACATTTTCAAACTATTCAAATGATGAAAGTTATTGTTGTTTTTTAAGCGTTTATTAGCGAGTGGGAAACTCCAACATGGCCGTCATCTATTCAAATGGGGGTAACCGCTGAAATATTCTTGGCTTCAATTTTACTAAAAGAGATGCGCTATCTAGTCTATATAAGATATCTATGGATACATCGCAATCATATATCTTCACCTGAGTACACAACAACAGAAACACGAATATTGTAATTTTCGCCACAGAGTACACAGTGGTACAACTTAACTGTTTTTATCATTTGCGAGAAGGGCAAGTTAGACATGAAAATTGGTTGTCTGGAATAAAATTCACTTGTCTTCATGTCTAGTTTGCACTCACATTTTAACAACATTTGCAGGATTGATTAATCAACATTCTAATGTAATCTAATCTTATGCTTCCCGTAACAAAGTTCTATATTTGAAGACTGAATCATGAAGTGTTGATTTCAGCTGATTCACTCACATTTATACCATAAACAAGCAAACAATTTAGTGTAGCAATTATAATTTATTAATTATTGCCCGTAATAATGTTTACTTGGCCCGGGCAGGGGCTAAAGCCAGGCGCACACGATGCGATTTTAGTCGGCCGATAAAAATCGTTTGACTAAAACTAACAAAATCGTTGTGTGTGCGGTGTCATTTTTAACCGATTTTTGTTGCTCGATTTTAATCGGACAACATCAAAACGTTTTGATATTATACGATTTTTATCGGTGGAATTTTAAGTATAACCAATCAGATTTCATGCTGTGATCACGTGCTTGTATTTATTTGGCAACATGGCGGCTACAGTTCAGGGAGCGTATTTTTTTCGTAATCGTGTGCAGAGTATACCGATGTATATCGGTATGTCAAACGATTTTCATCGGCTGACTAAAATCGCATCGTGTGCGCCAGGCTTAAGTTACATCGCTGGTACATGTTTTTAAACAGAGCAGTGATAGAAACATGAACATGTATTTTGTTGGAAGTTCTCTATGGTTGTTTACCATTTACATGGAAAACCCATCCGGTTTGAAATTGTGCCAATGGTAAGCAAAATTTCGAATAGAAAATCCCATTCGGATTATGCGCTTTCCATTTAGAATGACTGACCGGAAGGCACTGAAGGGTTGTTTACCATTTATATGGAAAACCTATCCGGTTTGAATTAAATCGCGAAGAGCCTGGAACTGGTGAAAAAATAAAAAATGTAAATGGAACAAAATTCATCGGTTGAAACGTTCCAATCGGTAAGAGAGGACAACCTTTTCAAACAAACCGTCCATTCCGGAAAATTTCCGGTTGGGCCGTCGAAATATGCTTGTTCCATTTACTTTCCGTATGGAACAACCGGAATTTCCATGTAAATAGTAAACAACCTATGTTATCGACGAATAATGACATTCGTTCCTTTATTCTTTCGTGTGTTTTCATCGCTTTCTTCATCCTTTTTTTGTTCCATCGCGTCTTTTTTACATTGTTTTTGTAATATTGTCACAAAAATATTTCAGAGGTCACGCAACATTGCCCTAGTCCGATATTTTTTCTGATTATAAATTTAATGTGAAATGGTTGCAGTACCTCCTGGATGTCTTTCAACATGCTTTCTTTTTGCTTGCAGAACTCATCTCTTTCTTGTGCAAAATTATCTTCTTTCATTTCAAGTTCATGCTAAACAATAAAATAATGACAGTATGAGTGCGCGTTCATATGGGCCTTCTGCATGCATTTTATTACAGTCAAACCGGATGTTCTCTTGTGAGCAATATTGTCCCACAATTAGCCATTCCGAAGTTGATGAGTGCACTGGGGCGAGTGTTAAAAAGTGCCCAAATTAAAGCCCTGGGCAAACTAGGAAAC